ATAAAGGACTTGTACGCTGATGTGGCAGAAGACCTGGTGTTGCAAATCCAGAACGAGATGAAAAGAGGTTGCTGTATGAACGCGAAAGACCAGGGAGAATGGATGGAGTTCGTAAACTTGGGTCTGGTGAACCTGATTGAATCATGGATTGAGAATGGTATATTCGAGGTCGTGTGATAGTCCCACCACCAACCGCAGGGATGGTTTCATATTCGGGGACACTGTCGTTCCGTTCCGGGGCAGCAGCGACACTGCAAGGTGGGGAGTTGTCGGGGAAAGTGTCATCCCAGTCTACAATGTCATACGACGTCCCCGCATCGTCGTGATCATAGTCGTCGACATCGCTTGGTTCCTCTGCCAAATCTGCAAGACCTTTGTTCTGTGTGAACAACCTGCTGAAGTCTTTGAAGGTGCTCTTCGTCGGTAGGCCTTCAGGACGAAGACCATATGTAAGATCAGGTGTTTCGGACTCGGGTGGAGTATTGTTGCCAGATTCCGGAGTTGCCCCTTTAGGCGGAAATGATTGGTGGTTTGGTCGGGTGTTTGGATGGCGATTGGCACCTGTGATAGAGATACCGGTAGTCGACCGAGGGCGCTGAGGTATTGATAGAGGGAATGGCTGTCCGCGTGGGATTTGAGCGCTCTTCGCACTGGCTGCAGAAGAGATAGGGGGACCTGCGTTCTCGGGGGGTCGTGTCTCGAAGGTTCGGCGAACGACGGGAGGTGGTCGTTTTGATAGATAAGGTGCTTCGACCTTGGCTTTTACCCACTGTTGGCTAAGCCGGTGTATAATACCTGGAAGATCTTCTCGAAACATTTGCCGTAATTGTCCCTCAATCTCGCGTTGAATGAAATTTTGGATCACGGCGATGGAGTCGAATGTGCTACTGATGTCGACGTTCTGGAGCGGGTCTGTCTTGAATACGAGTGTGATTCCTTTTTGTTTGGAAACGACCAAGACGACGTATGAATTGAGTTTGAAATTTGAGAGTCGAAGAAGCATCGGAACGACGAGCGGTTGCTTCGCGGCCAACATTCCTCTTGATCCTGTCATGGTATGGATTTCAGACTGTTTATGGTTCAGAGGATTGGCCTAGATAATATTAGCACACAACTACCAAGCCGCCAAGATAACACTCACTTGAACCTTGGTTTTGAGGACCAGATGGGCATCGCCAGAGTATGTGAGTCTGAATATGCCTCGAAATTGGTCCACGGTTAATTCGCCAATATCGCGAATCTCCAATTCTGGAGGCTAAAAACACGGGTTCATTCGTCGAAGTTAAACAGTGGAATAGAAGGGGGGGCATACTTGTGTTCCCATTTCCAATTCGACGACCTCGATCTTATCCGCGATAACTGGGGGTTTAGTTCCCTTGTTGAGGGCGGTGTTCAACATTTGAATGGCATCGTAATGAAACTGGTCGGAGAAACGAGGCCAGTTGAAGGTGAAAGACATCTCTCAGAATGTATTCGAGAGTGTCTATGCGAGTGTAGGTGCATGCAGTGACGGTGGAGGAGAGACGGCGAGGCTGCGTTCAGAAGGCGAAGGCGACCATACGTCGCGGACTTGCATGATTGAGTTTGCCGTGTGTGTTGCGTATATGGAGCAAAACCTGGGGTTAGGGTTAGCTGACATAAGCACAACAACGAGCGACTCGGAAAAGCATTGTGCGGGCCAGGCAAAGAAAGGCAGCAAGCGCAACGCACACGACTCATCATCCCAACGACACCTCGTCAACGTCGTCTTAGGCGTCTATGCAGAACGTCCGTCGCTTCATCAGCGCCGCGACTGGTTCTGCTGCCCCTTCTCAGCCAGAACCCCCTCGTCAAGCAACACCACCTCCAAATCCCGCCTTCAACCAGCCAGGCCCATCATGGCCCCCGACCTCTCCGACCACTTATCAACCCGCCCCATCCACAGGGAGTCCTGGTTCCACTGCCCCTCTTTCATTTCGAAAAGACAAGGCTACGCCTGCTGACGCCTCGCCTTCCGGGCCTGCTGGACTCCCTCTGGTTTCTGATTCTGCGTCCCCGTTTACATCTCCACTACGAAACGGGAGGAGTATCCCGCCAAGTTCACCTCCAAAGACGCGCAGTAGCGCCGTCAATTCTCCTTTATTGTCGTCCTCACCTAGGGTGTTACCTGCTACCAATGGAATCGCCCGAAAACCTACGCCATCGTCAGAACCAGAATGGCGACCTACGAGTCAGGCTATGAGTACTCGTGATGAGCTCCTTACAAGCTTGCTGGCCAGCGAAGCTATGGTCGAGAGTCGCGACTATCCCATTCTAGGTCCCGAGGAAATCGAGGATCTTAAAAAGGTTCGCTTCTAAGTTTAGTCTCCTTGACTTGATCTTATGAGGCGGAACAGGAGCAACAAGTTTTAACATCGCGTCTCGAGGCCATGAACAAGAAACTCGGTCTAGAGACGAAAATCCGCGACGCAGCCTTGTCTCTAGCCAGAGTCAACGCTACCCACAAGAAAGTCTCGAAACAAACAGACGAGCAAATCGAAGGGGCTAACCGTCGAGTTGAAACTGCGCAGAAAGAGGTCTGGCGAATATCCGGGAGGCTTAACGACGTGTACAAGAAACTCTTGGAGCACAGAGCGGGTGTCCTAAGCTTGTCCGTCCGAAGTATGGAAAAGAAATTGACTCCGGATGGTGACGACTCTGGGTACACCTCCAATAGGAGCACCATCTTAAGTCCTACTAGTTCTACGAGCTTCTCGACCACATCCTCGAAAACCCGATTCGACGGTGCCCATCTCTTTGCGGGGCATGCAGACGCCATTGTACCAAAACGCGTCCTCTCTGCAGATGCGGCTGCCACAGAGATTGCGGCACTCGAGGAGAAACTCAAGGCGGCTACTCAATCTCTCTCCAACGCTTCGAAGAAGCAGGCTCAGCTTACACGCGAACTGTCGTTGCTTCAACTCGAAAAGGACGCAGTCGAGACAAAGTTGGGTATGGAGCTTCAAAATGCTACAGAGGCTATCACTGCATTAGAAGAGGAACTTCCCCGGTTGGAAGGCCTTGATGCAGAAGTGCAGGACCTGTTGGAGGAAAAGTCGGAATGGCAGAAGGATAGAGACTTGTTGGAGGAACGAGAGAGGCAGATGAAGGAGTTGGAGGCGAGGTTAGCAGACCAGGAGTCTCAGAGTGCGAAGAACGTGGGTGCGGAAAGTCTGCTGGCGGAAGCGAGGGAACGTAGTCAGCAAGAGCTGGATCGGAAGGAGGCCGAACTACAGAACCTGAGAAGGGAGATGAACTCGAAAGAGGCAGAGTGGGAGAAGGAGCGAGGGGCAATGGAGGACGAAAGGATGGACGATTTGGCAAGGTTACAAGATGAGATGGATAGACTTCGTGAACAGGATCGTACGGAATTGCAAAAGGCCAATCAGGACCTTGACGGTGGGTTGGATGCACTACGGACGTTAGTAAAGCAACACGGTATCGTTTTGTTCTCCCGGGATTCGTCGTTGCAAGGTCTCCTCGGTTCCATTGGCACACACCTGGACACTGTACACCAGAAACTCGAGAACTATGCCAAGACTCAGGCTGAATGGGAGGGTGCTCGTCGCAAATTGGAAGATGACGTCCGGTTTGGGTTGGATAAACGAGAATCGTTGACGAAGGAGATGGAAGAAGTCCGACGATCTAGGGATAGTGCGGAACGGGAAGTTAGGTTTATGAAGGTCAGTGTCAAACCCAAAACTCTTGCTTCTCTTTCGGCGGTTTTGGAGGTATTAGAGCTGACATCGAATCGCTGTTGTTTCATCTTGCAGGAACATGCTGAAGTTGCATTGCTGCGATCACCGGCTTCACCGATGTCCATCCCCTTACCACTTACCATGGATTCCTCCGGCGAAGTCAGCAAGATAGTCGCCGTTCTTCAACCCATATTCAACATCCTTCCTTCACCTGAAGGTCGTGCTGCCAAATTCCAAAGGAACATTCGCGCAAGATCACCTATGCGCGGGAGTCCAGAGGTAATGCCTACCTCGCCCACCTCCCTCTCCGAATTAGATGTCCGGTCTCTCAAGGCACTATACGACAATAAACTAGTGCCTGGGAGTCCTGTTTCTCCCAGAGCTACTACGTTCACGATTGAGGCATTCGCAGCTCGAGTGCAGGCACTTATACAGGATGATAAAGCGCTGATTGAGAGGTTGGTGAGGTTTGCGCAGGCGCATGATTTGTTGCGGAAGAATGCGGAGAGAGCGCAAAAGTTGGCTCAGGAGAGCAGTAGCGCGTTGGAAACTTACCAGAAGCAGGTTAAGACTCTCGAAGAGAGGAACTCAAGTTTGACCGTGAAACTGGCTTCTCTGTTCGTTATCTCTTTTTCTCACTGGAATGTGGGATCGACCAATAATACTTCCTTTCCTTTTTCACAGACAAGACGAGATACATCAGCTGCAAGAGGCAGTTGAACGGCTTACGACTGAGAAACAAGATATCGAAATGCAAGCTGCCGAACAAGCAGAAACATGTCGACAGCTCACTGAGGCTAACAATACACTCAGCGCTAAAACGTTGACCCTCGCTCAAGAAGCCGCGGCTGCGCCAGAGATGATTCGTAAACAACTCGAGACGCAATTGGCTGAGTGTAAAGCAGCGCTGGAGGAGTCCCAGAGGGAGGTTGAGGCCATGAGGTTGTCGGAACAATCTCAGAGTATGGCGCTTTTGGAGGAGTTGAATAATGTGCAGAATGAAAATGGGATTCTCAGACAACAGTTGAGAGCGGCAGGGAAGAAATAGAGGGTTTTAGAGGATACATGTCGGTTGGTTACTTCTTCCTTCCTTCGTCGTCATATATCATTTTCTCGTGTAACTACGGTATAAGGGTTATAATTCTTAGGCACAACTATTGGCTATCGATAGAGTGGTGTGCTTCCCGAGGATCAGAGGCCTTGGCTTCTGTGATCTCTGGGCGAGAGAAGTCGACCAAGCACGTTTGTGTTCGCCAAAAAGTGAATGGAGTTTTTGATACTAAAAACCCCTGGCGGGATTCGAACCCGCAACCTCCAGATTAGAAGTCTGACGTCATAACCATTAGACAACAAGGGCTTCGCCTCTTTAACCGCCTGTGGCTATGATAATGTACGGCCACTTGAATATACAGCAAACGTTGGCATGGATGATGGATAACTTGATGGGGAAACGGTGGAAGCAAGGGCCCGAGAAAGAGTGCATTTGGTGACGCTGATTCGGAACGTGGCGAGAGAGTTGTGACTGTTTGGGCTCTGTGAAAAAACAGGGATCGCCCGACGCCGGGACGTTTTGAAGACTTTTGGACAAGACTTATGTGATTCTCCAGTTCTCTCCATCCTTCCAACCCTCTCCCCAAACCATGTCCTCCCCGGCGTCGTCAGATACGCCCCTGCCCACCGTATCATCTCCGCTCCCCATCAGCCCAGTTAATGTTCGTCGCAGAAGTCTCTCACCTGCTGAAGCCAGCGAGCTTGCTGCATTGCCTCGTCATTCACCTACCATATCACGTACCTTTGACCCGAATGATCCACAGGCAAGAGAGCGTCAACGAACTATGGATGTCGACATGGCTATCCACTTGTCTCGCGCGCGGAGAGAGACGCTGAGCATCAGCCCATCAACGCCGCTGGATGCTTTACAGACCTCGCCGGAGCATATGTATCCCACCATTCCTACTCTTTCGCCACAGGAACGACGCGAAATCAAGATGGCCCGTGGGGACGAAGAACCTATTGGTCATGGAGAGGTCGAGGAGCAGATGATGCCCTCGGACAGTCGACCCCTGGAGGACCAGTCGATACCAGCCTCACCGACCATCCAGCACCTCTCTCACCCAGATGACGCATCACATTCTATCTTCGGTGGCTTGCCAAGGTACCAACCTAATATTTCCCAAACTCAGTTCGATTTCCAGTCGATGGAGGAGTTTGCGGTGGTGGAGAAGAACGTTTTGGGCTTGACCAGCGCCTCGCCGCGTTTTTCCTTCGACCCTGCCAGACCTCGCCCCACCACTTCGACCGCCGTCGAAGGACCGGGTGAAGCACAGCAGACCGCAGTGGAAGAAGGTTCCGACAACAACGCGAGTACGAGTACCCCTCGATCTACACCGCGCCGCAAATTAAGTCATAGCAACCCAACACCAAGGTCCCACCGCAAGGGCATTGGAGGGAAGTTGGCACTTTTCGAACGTGCGCTGGGTGAACCCTCTACAGCTTTGCCACCTCATCTCGGAATCCCTCCCAGTTCCCCTCCATCGGGTATCCCTGGACGGTCCGTCGAACACGCTGGCATTCTTGGAGGTAATCTAAATACAGGCCACGATCGACCTTATCGCTTCTCCTTCTATTCCAACGCACTATCTGCGACCATTCATGCTAGGAGTCTGAGCGAACTACCCGCGGAGGGACAAACGTTTGAGGACTTGTTCGCAGGACTTCCTCCTCGGGAACTACACGGTGAGCCAGCTGCGCATACAGGACGCGAAAGACCTGGGTCAGCTGGTACGAAACTCGATTATGCGGCTAAAAATAACGGAAATGCCGGGAATCTGTCGAAGCGACTGCATGGCATGAAGAACAGTTTCAACGGGCATTCGCATCTGCATAGTTTAGGGGACCAGGAGCTTGCGACCTGGTGGTTGGATGTACAAAGTCCGACAGACGAGGAGATGAAGATGCTAAGCAAGGTATGTTCATCATTGCCGCCTTTTTAATACTTTACCTTGCTTGTTCGCATCATTATCACATGAAAACACAAAAAGCTTATTCCACGATTTTAGGTCTTTTGCATCCATCCATTGACGACCGAGGATATCCTGATGGAAGAAGCTCGCGAGAAGATCGAGTTGTTCCACAACTACTATCTTGTTTGTTTCCGCAGTTTCGACCAGGACCAATATAGTCCAACGTACTTGGAACCTTTGAACATGTACATCATCGTGTTTCGTGAGGGCATCCTATCCGTGAGTACCTTTTCCGGTTCATCTCGATGTGCCCATCGTACCCACACTTGGCTGACCCAACTTTAGTTTCACTTCAGACCAACTCCCCACCCGGCTAATGTCCGCCGGCGTATCAAACAACTCAAGGACTATATTAACGTGACGTCAGATTGGATCTCCTACGCCCTTATCGATGATATAACCGATGCCTTCGGCCCTCTTATTCAGAGTATTGAATATGAGGTCGACAGTATAGACGAATTGGTGCTGATCCTGAAGGAGGCCGAGAGAAGCGACATGTTGCTTCGTATCGGACGATGCAGGAAGAAGGTCATGGGTCTGTTGAGGTTGATGGGTAACAAGGCAGATGTCGTCAAAGGATTGGCGAAGAGATGTAACGAGAACTGGAGGGTTGCACCCACGTCTGACATTGTGCGACTTTATTTCCATTTTGACTTGGTTCTTGCGGTATTAACACACCTATTATAGGGCCTCTATCTCTCCGATATTCAGGTATGCTTAGCTGGTCTTCGTCTTTGGATTTATCTCACGACTGACTGGCATCTACGAATCAGGATCATTTGATTACGATGACGCAGAATCTGAACCACTACGAGAAGATTTTATCTCGCTCGCACTCCAATTACCTCGCCCAAATTTCGATCGAGATGACAGATGCCAATAACCAAATTAACGATGTTCTTTCCAAGTTGACGGCATTGGGTACGGTGCTTATTCCCATGAACTTGGTCACTGGTGAGCATTTGGGTCTCATTCCTTGTACGTGGCAATGAGGTGTGCTGACGGCTTCGGGACTCCGTTCCATTTTAGGTCTTTGGGGTATGAACGTACACGTACCAGGTCAAGACATTACGGAGGTAAGTTTCGTAGCTCGTGGCTCCCTCTCTATGGGATCTTGAGTAAACCATACTGACGTGGTGACCGTTTGTTGTTATAGGGTTATGTGTGGTTTGTCTCTATCATTGCTGGACTTGTGGCATTTGCGGTCATCGGTGGTTATTCAACGTACAGATTGGTTAAAAAGTGATCGAGTTGACTTGGCGTTGTGATGCTGCGAGTCCTCGCTCGGTACTTTTTTTTTGGATATTCTTATCATGAGTTTGTCACCATATATTGGTATGCACGTGCTACGTTATAGCATAGTTTGCAACACACGTTATGCAGCTTTGATTACATTCAATTCATTCTGGAGTTGGTTTGGATTGGTGTTATGCTTGCTATAGAGTTCTTTCTTGCTCGGTTATGTGGTAGATTGTAGATGCTTCTTTCCTCCTTTTTCACTTACATTGAGCTGTTGGTGTTGTAGTTAGTTGTGTTTCTAGCTTCCTGGTTATATGCTTTATTGTATATGGAGTGCACAGTGGTCTACATGTATCATAATGATGCTTATGTTCTTTCATCTTATTTTTTGATGCAAGTGTGTTAGTAACATTATCTGAAATGGCTTACCTTTTTATCTGGACAACATCCAAAACACTTAGTAGTACATTGTCTTTCAGGAAACAAAATGTCATTTTTACAAAAGAAAGAGAAAAACCTAGCAACTGTACCCATACATTATACACTACTTTGTGAATATTTCCATCCAACCCTCTCCATGAGCAAACTTTGACCAATCCACCACAATATGCCTTTCAAGTGGCTGCTGAGAAATTATAACTACCTGCTTGCCTAAGAATTTGTCTCTCAAGTACAAAGGAAGCCACAAGATATGCTTATCCTCATACATAATCCATCCATTCAATATAGTTCCTTGCAAAATAGCCAAAGGCAGAGTATTGTCCTGCTCTGGATTAGCATCAAAGTAGCCTGTGCATGAGATACAATTGGTGGATGTCTCTTCATGACATGTATGGGCTAGAATGTGCTTCTTACTTGGGAAAATAACTTTGGAATTCTGTGAATCCAGTGGTAGAATAGAAGGGCTTTGAAGTGGCTTTTCAACTTGTAACCCAATACAAGTCTGCCAGATTCTAATAGTTTTGTCATGATAGCCTGCTACTACATGACTTCCATCAGGTGAAAAGGCTACTGATGTGGCCACTATGTTATGTTTTCCAAGTGGCTCTCCAACAAGTTGGTGAGTATTTGCATCCCAAACTTTGATAGCAGCATAAGATGAGGCTGATATAATGTATTTACTGTCTGGTGAATATGCTATGGCAATTATGGGATCATTATGACCCATGAGTTCATCACGAGTCCATTCTTGTGTCTGTATTCCCCAGATACAGGTTGAACCCTCATTACCACCAGCAACCACATGTTCTCCATCTGGTGAAAATGCTAATGATCTTATGGGTTCTCTTACACTTCCCCAGATCAGCAATCCTTGTTGAATATTATCACTTAGATTCCATACTTTTACCATCCTATCATCAGACCCTGACACGAGAATGTTGGTATCTGGAGAGAAAGCAAGGCATGTAACTGCATAACTATGCCTTTCAAGTGAGCCTGGTTGTCTTATGGGTCTAAAAGTGTTCATGTCCCAGATCCTTATTGTCCTGTCCTCAGAGCCTGTTGCTGCATATCTAACATCTGGTGAAAAGGCCACTACTGAAACCCCTGCAAAGTGATCAAAGAGTGGTTCTCCCACAAGTTGACCACTATAGGCATCCCATATCCTGGCAGTTCTGTCATAAGAACCTGATAAAACATGTTTGCCATCTGCTGAACATGCAACTGATGTAACTTTTTCTGTATGTCCTACCAATGGTTCCATAACTGAGAGTCCAGTATTTGCATCCCATATTCTTACAGTTTTATCCACAGACCCTGAGACTATCTGCTGACCATTGGAGGAATAGGCAACTGATGTAATACCTAAATTATGTCCATTGACATGTTCTTCATTTGGTTGTCTAGTGGTTGCATCCCAGATTCTAACCATATTATCTCCAGATCCTGAGATTACATGCTTACTATCTGGGAGAAATGCAACTGATGCTACCATCTCAGTATGACCTTTGAGTGGTAGGTCACCAGCTGAGTAGTCTTGAGTATGCCATATCCTGATTGTCTTATCCCAAGACCCAGAAGCTATAAAAAGGCCATCAGGAGAGTAGGCCACACATGAAACTGCCTTTGTGTGACCTACAAGTGGTCCTCCAAC